CAAAATAAACAACATCAAGTACAACTTCCGAAACATCCCAGGAAAAAAGTTAACCTTCGCCGAAACGTTGAACCACGCCATGCTTTTCGCTTCCTGCTGTTACATTGGACTCGGTGACCCCTCCGCTACCTGTCTTTATTGCCACTGTCTGTACTGCAAAACGTTCTTTGTGGAAACATAAAATAGATGTTCATTTATCTTTGGGGGATCCTCCCTCTTCACGCCTCGGGTTATGCGATGTGATTCAAAGGGGAAATATTGGGAAGAAAATAGAAATACAGGATGCGTGTCTTCTATTTATTTATCTGTCAATATCCGTATATATTGTATACACCAATATCTATGTTTTGTTATAAGCAAATTAGAATACCATTATAAAATCCAGTTTACCTTTTTTGCACACGAATATGGTTTATGCTGCCTGTATGTTGCCGGCAATCAAATAAAAATAATTGATTACATCCAACGGCTTAATCACGCTTTTCTTTTTATTAAAAAAAGAAAAAAAAACTTTAATTACGATAATCAAAAATAGTGTTTAATTATTTATAAAACAAATAAGGGTGAACCTTTCTGGATCCGACACTACTAAGTTTCCCTGGATTCTGTCATAAATAGTGGACAAATTAGATTTTTAGCATTCAGGTACCCGTAAGTCACGGACAGGCCAATTGTAACTGAACAAGATATTCTTTCAGTGAAATACAGTGATAATGAGCATCTGAAGCCACTTGTAACTAAAGTAACTGACCATCAACAGTGCATTAAAATCCATGCTAACCAATGGCAGCTGTTCCATTTATTCTAACTTGAACATTGTACCTCATTTGTTCTCACCTTACACAACATACACATACAAGATCTACCTTCATTAAATAGACTGCATGGGTTAGCACTGGCTTTCATTTAAAGATAGTCGCCCAAGAAGGGAAATTACATGAAACGTTTTATCCTTTGCATATTTGATATAGAATATAACTTTTTCCTTTTTTGATTTCAAATACAGAGCAAAAGTTTTGGACTCAAGATGAATGATGTAAAGGTCGAACAAGTTTTAATTTTCTAATATACATCGTGGTGCCTTTTTATTTTCCTTCCTCCTAGACTTTAGAAATTTTGAGCTTTGTTGCGTCTCTATGCCTGTGTCAATGCATGCGTGTGTTGCATACACACGCACGGACAAACGCTCACGCTCACGAACATGCACGTACACACAGACACACACACACGTGTGTGTGTGTGTGTGTGTGTGTACGTCGTTAAGCTAACTTTGAAGAACGAAAAATTCGATTTATGGCCTCCTGGAGGAGTTTGGGATGTTCCTGTGAATAATCTTTAAAAAGAACTGAACTTTATTGCTGATCACGTGCTGTGGTCACCACAAAAATGGCAATTTAAAAGAAAATAGAGATTGTGGACATTTACTTTCGATATATTTGGTACCAACTGGTCATAATGACGTACGGACATGGCTGTGACTCGTGTGGAGGATAACACTTGGTAAGTCCGCTTCTTCGTTAATACATCAAGTCTCTCTCTCTCTCACACACACACACTCCATACTCATATTCATATTCATCCTCATACTCACCCACACACACATGTATATACATATATTTGTATATGCTGTTTATACATATCACCTATGTGTGTGTATGTATGTGTGTGTGTGTGTGTGTGTGTGTGTGTGTGTGTGTGTGTGTGTGTGTGTGTGTGTGTGTGTGTGTGTGTGTGTGTGTGTGTGTGTGTGTGTGTGTGTGTGTGTGTGTGTGTGTGTGTTTGTTTTCGTGCGTGTGCGTGTTTTATTTCATGGATTTAAGTATAGCTTTACCAATGCATATAGTTTTATAGGTATGATTTTGTAGATTTATGAATCCAGATTTGCCGCAGAATTCCAATAATCCCTGGTAACAGTCAACATTCAGCTGGTAATCCATGTCTACTTGTACTGGTCACTGTAGAGAATCGTTTTTTTCTTAGTACAAGCGAGTTTGCTTATGTGTAAGTTTCGTGTTTAATCAATTGTATCGTTCGTTTTCAATTATTTATGTATGTATTACTAATATATTTTACAAGCGTATTTCCTGTTCTTGTGGGTCGTCTTTTTTTATTTGCAAATCATCAAAGGCGAGAGCAAACACCTCAATTTCTAGTTATCTTTTGGTTAATGTCAATTTTTGTGTAGGTGATGACAGTGGCAACAATACTGTGATATCACAGTATCTGTAACGTGAATATATCTTATAGGATACTGTTAATCTAAATTTGAGTATGATGGGGATTTACAGAAATATGGCATTTGTACAGTAGTGACACCTGCCTCATGCCATATTTTTTAGCATCATGGGAAACTGAAAAGCCTATATTTTTTCTCTCATAGATTTTCCGAGAGACGACTTAAATTTCCTCAACAGAAAGAAAGCTTTAGCTCTTGTATGCGATATAATGAAAAGATTTTACATAGGAAAGTTGTGAAAAATAGTGTAGGTAAAAACAAATGACAAATTTTATATTTTATTACATAAAGCCTGTTTACAAAGGGCACGTTTCATACAGAAAAGTAATCTATAATGGACAGAATAAGTGCATGTTGGAATACATAAATCAATAAAGTTCTCCAAAATTCCCCCCACACTGCCAATGCTTCATTATTATGTTCACAGAAGATCCACTTTAGAGGTTACAGTACATAAACTGCATCTTCTATGGCTGGTATTAAAAAAAAAGTCATTCATTTCTTGTACCTTCAAAATTCCTAGCAATTAATCTAAAACCAAACTATATGAACAATTGCATTACATAAGATTTTAAAAGGTACCTGCCAATACAACTGTCTTCTCTATAATGGAATATTTTAACCTCTGTATATTGTACACCTTGTTTGTTTCTTCACCATTATACCTAAAACTATGACTTCAAATATAAACCTGTCATGCTTCACATTTTATCTTATTGCACTCTCCATGCATAATTTCCCTAGAATTTGACTGATTCAGTTTATTTTATGATATGATTAAATGAAAGATCACAATATGAAAATAAGTTAGGATGAACATGGTTACATGAAAATCATATTAAATTTTATGCATTAGAATATAACAAACCTACTTTAAAATCTAGTGGGCACATGCACCTGTCATCTTACAAATGCATGACAGAAATGCCCTGAAAAAATTGTACATTAAATAATTTATACAACTAAACACCCCATGTCACTATTGCTTTTAACAGCAACTTATTGTGTATACTTCAAATCCACTTGTTTACTTTTAAGACAATATCTATAAATTACATACTAAAATAAATAAATAAATACTGTGATCTTTTGTTCTGCAATAATTTACCAAAAATTGTGACCTCAAAAATAACCTTTTGGATATACAGAAACAACAGTGAAATAAAAATTGAAAATCACTTAACTATTTCATATCCAAGGAAGCAGGTAAACTGTTTATAAAGCCTGTGCAAATACACATGAAACAATTACTATAGTTAATACCATGTTAAGTATCAGAAATATACATAAATCCAATAACTGATTTAAAAAACACAAAGTACAAGTATCATATATATACAAAATTCCATAAAATCTATGAAGTCTTTTTGATAATAAAACATTACTTCACAATCTGAATATGTGGAACATTGCATCTTCATTATACTAAAAAGATCATGACTTCAAATAATGTCTAAAAAGACAACACCCAATATCATAAATGCTGCAATGCAAATTCTACTTATGAATGTCCAAATCTGCAACAAATTTATAGAATTTCTGATATAGATTCACATTTTCATGACTGGTAACCAAAAATGTAATCAAAACTGAATCTGATTTCAAACTATACTTTCATTTGGGAAATTTGGGACATAACCATATCGAATTATAGCATATGCAGGCTCCTCTCAATCATTCACTTCACTTACAATACAATCAAATATTGACTACAATGCTTTTGATGTGAGCAATTTTCCATAATGAAATATCAGTTTACTTATTGATTTTAATCAATCATTCTCATTAGTAGTTCTAAGAAATGAACTGCACAGTATCATAAAAAAGAAAACTTATTGAAGACAAGACCAACTATGAATATTCATCACAAACATCAGATACTCACATTTCTGTATATTAAGATAATGGTCAAAAACTCCAAATATAAAGATCTACTTTCTAAAAACAAATTCTTACATCTTAGGAGAATGGAGTCATATACTCTTCACTATTTGTTCTAGTTTCCAATGCTTAGATCATAGTCCAAAATAAAAATGTTTGGGTAACTACTAAAAAAATATCATACATGATATATTACAGTCCCTTCACCTACATTTTATGTGAAAAAAATATCAGGTGATATTTTTCTTGTCACTGTTAACTGCTTTATTGATAGATGATGATCACAAAATACAGAGTAATAATCTCTGCAATACATCATATAACAGTAACCATTTATTTCCAAAGTAACTAAAGAAAGTGTTTATTAAATATATAGCCTTACACTTCTTAATATAGGTTTGAACACATCTATATACATTAGTTGATCACTAGTTTCCAATGATATATCAAGCCTTTAGTTGGTGTACTGTTAATAGCACGGTATCTACCTTTATGCTATGTACCTACTGTTAATCATGATGATCATAATATGCAACTACTTATAACATTACAAGAAATGAAAAGCAATTTGTCTTAAAACTCAAATACAATACTGGAAAATGTCAGCTAAAACTGAGTGACTCTCTTATAAGAATTACATGACTTAACATTTTATTCCATTACTTTACTATACAAAAAAGCCCTAATCATTTATACTTCTTACATATTAGTCCTCGAAAATGAACTGGTTTTATACTTTACCTGGAACAAGGCCTACCACGTTTCATTTGTAACTTATAATCATACTTTTTTACCTGAAGATATCCCACTGAAAGAATATTACTACTATTAAAAATACATATTACATATTCTAAAATTCCTAACCATGTCTAAAATGGAATATTATTCATGCCACAGAAACAATTGTCCTTAGCACTTCTCTAGACACTTGCAAAGCAGTAGATGAAATCTCTTTAAACTTGGCAGCATAATTGGTAAATTACATTTGTTAAATTCCTTGTACACGTAACATTAATCAAATATCAAAAAGCTAAAATACATATGTAAATTAGCCATAGGAATACTGATATTTCAAAACTGTGTTTCAAAAGTTACAATGTCCAATTCATTATAAGTGAATAAAAAAATATTCATCTACATCAATATCATTCATATCTAACCATTTCTGAGTTTTCACTCACTGTTCAGGTGGCCATTGTCAAACAAGAATGTAAAAGATAAACTAAGAAAGAGGTATCTATATTAATACAGAAACTTCCACACAGCTGAAAATTAGTGGAGTCATCATTCCTGACTATTAAAAACAAGCAGATGAAATAAAGACTGCAATGTATGACACAAGTCAGCCTAAACCAAATGAAACCAACAGTAAAAGTGCCAGGAGTTAGGCATTTATCATTACCCTACAGAAGGACTGTCTGTCCCAGATGAGCCTCCATCTGTGGCTGAGAGAGTGGCATTCCTATCCCCCTTCTTTTTGCCCTTCATTAACAAAGCAATCTCACGGCTTTGTTCACGAATCTTCTTCTGTAAGAGGTCTACTTTGCCCTCGTAATCCCGGCTGCAATTCTTCATCTTCTGACGGAGCTCCTGTTCGAATGTGAATTGACTTGCCTTCAATTCAGTCATCTGTATCAGAGAGAGAAGTTTGAAAAGTTAATCATTCAGTTTAATTTAAATGGATACATGCACTGTACACTGGCTCTTTATTTTTTTATTTTGTTTACACATAGATGGTTTTACAGGTGCTTAGTCATCAAGGAGCCAAAAACTATGTCCCAGGTTTACCTCATTCCTTCAATTTAAAAAAAACTACTGCTACTACTACTACTACTACTATTATCATTATTGTTATGAACATTAATATTTTCATTCTTAATGACAGTACTATCATTATAACATAATTGACAATAATAAAAGCAATGAAATTTAAAACTCAAAAAATTCAAGGAATAAGGTAAACAGGTAAGATCTAAGAAATCTATGCACTTGTATCAACAAAATCAAAATAGCCAGGTATACATGCTCTCTTGGCACCAATCTCTTAATAACTACATATAGTATACAATATGAGAAACAGAAAAAAAGGCAATGCAAACCACCATAACAAAGTAAAGAAACATATAAAAACAAGAGTAATATTACTATGAAGTATTAAGAACATTAGAAAAAATTTCCTATCTCTTTATACACTACCTCCCACAACCTGAAAAATCTTTGGGCGGGTGATGCTAGTTCTCTTCTTTTTATTTGCTATTTTCACCCACTTTTTATAACATCCACTCATTATGTAAAACCCAAAATTTACCTGTTTTTCTTTTGCCAAAAGCTGAGAATCTTTGCCTGAAAGTTGCTTCTCAAGATGAGCTATTCGTTCCCTTAGTTGTGTTATTAGCACAAGCTGATCAGCTGTTCCTGGGTCATCTCGAACTGGACCAGAATTTCTTGATACCTGATGATACATTAGTGTTTTAAGTTTCAGTATTAATAAAAACAAACTATATATATATATATTCTATGATGATGCATCTGTTAACAGATTTAATCACAAAAATCACCTGAGTCTATACATGTAGATATTGTCAGTTCCACATTGGATGGACAAAATTCTTTGCTCTATACTGGACTTTATGAAAAGGAAGTTGCAGAAAATTTCAAGTAAACAAATCTTATAAACAGAATATCTAAAATATGATCTTTAGTCTGATAAAGCCAAATCACTGTAAAACATTTCTTCTAATAAGTGAAACTTATCCAAAGAAATAACTTATAAAACTTCTTCAACTTGAGTTTAACTCTGAAGATGATCTATTTCCATTAACACTATTTGCTTATACTAATATAACCTTCTCTTACCTTAGGTTGATAGACTCTTACGAATCTTAACATTGCTGAATCACTCTCTCTATACTTGTACCTTGTAATCGATCTTCCTCAGGCTCACCAAGTGCCAAACTTCCTAATACACAATTCCTCTTTTTGATAGACTCTCTTCGTCCATTCTCTCCATCCCTTCTCACTCACACTATTCGACTTATTCCTCAACCTATTCAGCTTCCTGACAGTGACTGCCCTTTTCAAGGAAATCCTTTTCCATGGCTTCCATTGTACTCACCAAAAGATTTATTCAGATTTTCCTTTAAAGTGCTCATAGCTTGAGCGCCTCAACTCTCATGTTTCAATCCCTCTTTCTGGGATCCTTTACCTTTTCTGTGATTACTTAACACTTACCAATTTCTTAAATTTGTCATGTGTTTCCACACTCTGAATGTCTTTGTCTGTATCATATAATCCCAGCTGAAAACATGAGAAAACTCTTGTAAGTGTTGACAGAGGAATGAAAACACATCAAGAAACCATATGATGCTCACATCAGAAATTAC